GACCGTGAACCCATAAAGATCGCCAACTGGAACGCTCGCTCCGTAGGGGCGAAAAACATTGAGCTTGCAGACTTCCTCCGCAAGCACGACATCGACGTGGGCCTTCTCACCGAGACCCACCTCAAGACCGGTGACAGCTTCTGGCTGCCCGACCACAGCATTGTCCGGCTTGATCGCACCAGCTCCAGGGGGGGCGGTGTCGCGGTCATCATCAAGAAAGGCATCAAGTACTGCACCCTACCCCACTACCGCACTTCCATCATCGAGGCCGTCGGCGTTGAGGTGGAAACATCGACCGGAAACGTCCGGTTCATCGTTGTCTACTGCCCCCGGCAATGTACCGTTAGCAATGGTACAGCACAGCAGTTCAAGAACGACCTTGCCATCATAACCCACACCAATGCCCGCTTTGTAATCGGAGGGGACCTGAACGCCCGGCACGAGGCCTGGCGGAACTACCAGCAGAACCAGAACGGCCGCCTGCTATTCGACCATTCCCAGCATGGTCTCTATTCCGTCTGGTTTCCGGACGAACCAACCTTCACATCACCGACGGGCAACCCATCGACGCTGGACCTGTTCTTGGCAAACACCAGATTAGCCAAGCCGGTTGCCGTCAACGACCTGAGTTCGGACCACCAACCGGTGCTGACCGAGCTGGGCTACAACGTGGCCCCTGCACCGTGCCAGCGGAAGGACTACCATCGAGTCAACTGGGTCCAGTTTCGACGCGTGGTCGACCGCCACATCGACGACAACCCACCGCTCGACACAGTGGATGACATCGACCGGGCCCTGGAGGGTCTCCATCAAGCCATATCCGTGGCTGACGAAGAGTGCGTTCGACGAGTTCCTGTGAGGGGTAAGTTTCAAGCAATTGATTCCCACACCAAACTCTTGATTCGGCTCAGAAATGTTCGTAGACGCCAGTTTCAGCGGACTGGGGATCTGCAGCGTAAATACGAAATGGTCGATCTGAATCGGCAGATCGCTTCCAGAATGGTCTCAATCCGGAACGAGAGTTTCGGGCGGCTCGTTCAGAACCTGGACGACCGTTCCAGACCATTCTGGAAGGTTGCCAAGGTGCTGAAGTCTCACCCCAAGCCCATTCCACCACTTAGAGTCAATGACGAACGGCTTATCACCAACGAAGAGAAGGCCAATGCAATTGGGGAGCACATTGCCCAGTCGCATTTGCTTGGCTCTACAATCCCAAGTCCACTCGAGAACCAGGTTGTGCAGTGCGTCCAGACGTTAGATGCCTCCCCTTGTGCCGTCCCTCCAGAAGAACGGATTACAGAGGAACAAATTTGCTCAGCGCTGAAACACAGTACGAACATGAAGGCTCCCGGGTTTGACGGAATATTCAACCTAGAGTTGAAAAATCTCAGCGCGAGGGTGCACTCGCTGCTGGCTGCCATCCTCAACAGATGCTTGGAGCTGCACTACTTTCCAAGCATCTGGAAGGTGGCAAAAATCATCCCGATCCGCAAACCTGGGAAAGACCCTTCACTACCGTCAAGCTACAGACCGATTAGCCTGCTCTCAGCGCTGAGCAAGCTGTTCGAAAAATTGATCCTCAGCCGACTAAACAAGTTTGTGGAGGAACATGACATTCTTCTTCCGGAACAGTTCGGGTTCCGCAAGGGGCATTCCACCAATCATCAGCTAGTGCGGGTGATGAATAACATCCGAAGTAACAAAGCTGTATCCAAGTCCACAGCCATGGCCTTGTTAGACGTCGAAAAGGCGTTTGACAATGTCTGGCACGACGGACTTATATACAAGCTTTGTAACTCCAACTTTCCACCATACCTTGTGAACATCACCCGTAACTATCTCCAGCAAAGGTCGTTCAGGGTGTCGTTGAATAGTTCCCTTTCGGGACAATTTCCGATCCCAGCAGGTGTTCCGCAAGGGAGTCTGCTGGGACCACTGCTTTACAGCATCTACACGTCGGACATCCCTCCTCTAGGAGACGGTTGCGTGTTCTTTCTGTTTGCAGATGACACCGCGATAGCCGTCAAGGGTAGGATGCCTCGTGAAATTACGAACAAGCTCCAACGATGCCTTGACACCTTTACTGATTATGCCACCACGTGGAAAATCAAAATCAACACACTAAGATTTTTTTACAGGAGTCAGTATTTTTTTACTGGGTTTTTGAATTGCTGAAAAAGTCGGTAAAAATTCAAATGACCGTTATCCGTAAGGAATCAATGAAATCGACCAATTTTATTTTCTATCATTAAATGGGGTTAACAGAACTAAGTATGTACAAGTTCAGAACAAATATTCTCATTAATAAATTTTCCACAGATTTTTAAACTTTTACCGAACAGTTCCGCAATTCAAAAACTCGGTAAAACCGTACTGACTCGATTAGTGTGAACGCCTCGAAAACCCAAGCGATCATGTTCCTTCACAGACAATCATTAAAACTTAAACCGTCTCCCTCCTGTACCGTAATAATGGATGGTACAAGGGTCGAGTGGTCCACTGATGTTACTTATCTCGGGATGTTGTTCGATGAGAAGCTCCTGTTCCGCTCGCACATAGAGAAAACCCTAGTTAAGTGCTCCGCCTTGGTTAGGTGTTTGTATCCGCTCATTTGCCGCAGATCCCGCCTCTCAAGGTAGAACAAACTGGCTGTTTACAAACAGATCATAGCCCCCGCGATCTTCTATGCCGCCCCGGTGTGGGAATCGTGCGCTCAGACCCACAGGAACAAAATCCAGGTTGCACAGAATAGAGTGTTGAGGATGATCCTAGATCGTCCATTCGACACAAGAATAGCAGACCTCCATCAAGAGGCAGAAATTCCCAAAGTAGATTCCAAAATTGATGATATGACAACTAAATTTATTCAAAAATGCAATCTTTCTGAACATGCTTTAATAAGCAATTTGTACATAGTAGGTTAAGTGTATATAGTAGAGTACAAAAACAAAACAAACCAATCCCACCAAGGTGGTCGACCGTGTACTAAGTCTAGGACTAATTCTGTAAAACAAATTTTGAATTTTGCCCATACCTAAAGATGAAGAAAGCAATTAAATCACTTAGTAAAAATTTATATGGTAATCGTCCAAGTTAAACTAAAATAAAGATCATTTAAACTAAAACTAAAAAAATCGCTAAGCTCATTCTTGTGACACGTTTTCATGATGACGCAGCAAGCAGCAGTAACAACAACAGTATCAGCAAGGATGGAAGCAGCAGCAGAAGTAGAACAACGGCAGCGGACCGCTCTTGCCAGTGCGATTGACCGCATGCATCAGCGAGGGCCGAAGAGAATTCCGACCCTCATTTCAGCTGACGAGCAGCAACCCGGCAGATTCGTGAAGCCGTTACCCCCGGTTCACGACAGCATTGTTGCTAAATCGCTTTGTGATGTGCCAAGAACAAACTCCTTTTGCACCATCTTTCGTTAGGCTCATGGCAAACCCACCCAACGTCAACGGAATCCCTGCATTGTATCCATGCCTGAAAATAATTACCAAGGAGTTACCTTACATCCCCGGAAATGTGTAAAGGAATCCTTCTGCAAGTAGTATCGAAAACTTTTATCGTAGTTCACTTAAAACACCAAAAGTAATGGAAGAAAATCCTAACGTTCAATGGGCTAAAGTTTGGCGAAACATACGGCTTAGAACCCTATCAGCAGAAGAGAAGTCAACGTATTACCTATTGGTAAACAACAAAATCCCGCACGCGGCCATGTTCTACAGGCAGAATCGAACGGATACTGAAATATGTGCTCATTGCCAGAATGCAGTCGAAGACCTTGAACATAAACTCTTTACATGCAGGCGTGTACGCCATCTGTGGGATTATCTTCGTCCAAAATTGGAGCAAATTTTAAACCGAAGAGTAACCTTGCAAATGTTTTTGATACCTGAATTTAAGAGTGCGAACAGAAAAATGTTTATCGTTTATGTAAACTTTGTTTGAGATGTCAACAGTAGTTTTACAATAGAAGCACTGGATTTTGATCTATGTTGTAACTGTCTAGATGCTAAGATGAAAGAGTTCTAAATAAACGAATTAAAAAAAATCATATGACATATGATTCTGAGGACACTTGCCTCTTCCGGGATCTGTTCCAAAGTTTTCCAGAAGTCATTTTAGACTTATGGTCATGACTAAAATACTCCATACCCTTTCAGAGAATGGTTTTCTCACCTAAAGACACAAATACATATAGAGGTTGGCCCGTGGAAAATTAGAACTTTTATTTTTGTGGGCCAGTCTAATGCGAATGCAGTAAGCTTGAAATGGGAAAAGGAATAAAAAGGCGTATGAAAATCCTATAGCAATCGAATACGATAATAAGAAACTTATCTCAAAGACAATCAGCAGTTAAATCACTAGAATTGTAACAATAAAAATTTGAAAGCTTGCGACTGGTGTGTTGTTAGAACTATTTTGGGTTTTATTGTAAGACACACACATAGCAAAAAAAAACCGTAGACCCTGAATTGAATGAAAATAATTAAATACATCCCGGAATACGTTAGAAACGTTGGAAACGTCAGAAGTCGTGTACATACCAAACCGAAAGCGAATTTACAATATAACTTGTACCATTTTTCAATGGACACCGATAAAGGCATGTCCAAACCATACACATTTATCGGCATATTATGCATCTCGTAATTCATATCAATAGTAGCAAATCTCAGCTATAATCAAACGCAGAACATTTAATCTGTTAAAGCTTCACAAAATCAGATACCACCATTGAAACCACTCGGACGGACAAACGGCTGATAAGATTTGTTCTGCTATGACAGGTCGTATCAGCCGGCCGTTGTCGGTGTTTGCATATCATCGTCACCATCGCCATCTCCGCCGTAATAGTTCACAGAAGCATCAGTAGACACAGTGCACCAGGAACGTTATCTGGCCATGATGAAGAAGGAAAGCTCTCTAAGCCATTGGCAAATCTCATTTGCAATGTCACCGCGAAATGTGCGCTGAGCGGTTCTTTGTGTCCGTTCATTGCAAGTGTGCAATATCACGAAATGGGGCTACGTCGATCGGTGGATGCCGAAAATTTCCCATTCAAATCGGTTCTTAATCAGTTTTTGGGTGCCATTGCCGGTCAGTTTCGTGGCTTTAATTACGAAATGGAACGTAACATTTGCAATGTCTATCTGGTTTTGTCGTTGGCAGTTAATATCATCACAATCAGCCATGGTGCAGCCATCGGATGGGTGTCACCGTTTTTGCCCTATCTTCAGTCTAGCGAAACACATCTGACATCTGGTGCGGTGAGCATCGAACAAGCATCCTGGATAGGATCCCTTCTGTGCATCGGTGGATTAATTGGTGCACCGTCGTTCGGACTGCTGGCTGATCGGTTTGGTAAAAAAGTGGGTCTGCAGCTGATTGTACTCCCGCATGTGGTTAGTAGCACGAACGTCCTCTGTGATGCGTAACGATGCAAGTATAAATATCCGTAGAGTTTTGTTTTGATTTGCTTAAATCTGTGTGACATGGTGTTATGAAATTGTTTTGATGAGAATTAGCATTTCGAAAGAGAAGGTCAGGTCATGGTCATTTCTCCGAGAACACGTGCGATAGAGTTTTCTTGATATTCATTAGGGTGGGTGAACCAGTAACCAGCAAGAAGCAAGTTTTGTTTTTCAAAGCATAAATAAGAAACTTGTTCGCGTCAACCCAAGGCTCAACTCTTCTATTTTTACGAAAATTTAACTTCCAATAGGAAGCATGCTCCTAAAGTTTTAGTTGTTATTGTAATTAAAAGATTCGAATATCTAAATCTTCAATTGAATCTAATTCCTTGCAGATTTTCACCGTTATTCACGCAAAAACCCTCGAAAAGGAATAAAAGCATTAATTTGACTGGAAAACCTACTCAAAGGTGCACCATTGCATTGGAAAACATTATAACCACAGACAAACAGACATAACTCTTAGAAGAAAATTCTTTAAAAAATATCGTCAAGCGTATTTTGAATGCGCACTAGCACCACAGACAAACAGACGTAACTCCTTGAAAAACTTGTTCTTGAAAACATAGTATCTCAAAACATATAACCTCAGTAACGACATCTATCTGGCTTCTCGCGGAAAACAAGCTTGCTCGCTAACTCGTAAACAATATTGCATAAAATTTCTATAGAATATATAGAAACGTCAAAGTGATCCGATGCCAGCGCTGCGGCGAGTAGTTCGCGGAACTGATAATATTCAAATCAACCGTTAAATGCATGAACGAAGATACACAATGAAGAGTTACGTCTGTTTGTCTGTGCTAGCACCATCTATCATCCACATTCCCAAGCAATGTTTTGCAACCGGAGCATCCCTTGTGCATGCAATTTTTTTCACTAGTTGCTTTTCCCTCGTTCTGTCAACGCGTCAGCTGTGTTGAAGAAAAACAAAACAGATACCTAGAATTCAGTGATGTCGGTTCTATGAAATTTTCCGAAGATCTATATAATTGATTGAATTCTACAGAAATTCGGATCCGTATGAAAAATTCTCAGAAGCTAAGACTTTTTTTAGGGATTTGTTTTGTTTGCTTAGTGTGTTTTTTTTTTCTTTTGCTGGAAACAAGGTAATGCATCCAAATATGGGAATTGTCGCGTTTGTCATTGACGCACGACAAGATACATTAAAAAATGGTCATCCTGGAAAATTCTCGTCAAACAACAATTTCTTGTCGCACGACAAGATCACCACGACAAAATAAAGAATCCATCCAGTCGCGACTATATATTCTAGTCATATGTCACTCATTCTGTTCTCTGAGACAAAGTCCATATAGGTTGTTTAAAAAGGAGGATCACGACAAGAAACCATCCATTCTAAAACGGAGGTTAGATTTAAAACAAGGCCGGAAATAATGTTAAATTCCTTCAATATTGGTATTTCCTATTTCAGAAAAAAGTGGGAAATACTGCCAAATACCCTTCAATATGTATATTTTTGGAATCGGGATGACGTCTCGAGACCGAAAATCGATATCCAGCGCCATCTTCAAATCCAAGATGGCGGCTTCCGATTTCAGAAAAAGTAGGAAATACTGCCAAATACCCTTCAATAAATATGTATATTTTCGGAATCGGGATGACGTCTCGAGACCACATATCGATATCCAGTGCCATCTTGGAATCCAAGATGGCGGCTTCCAATATCAGACAAAGTGGAAAATACTGCCAAATACACTTGAATATGTATATTTTCGGAATCGGGATGACGTCTCGAGACCACATATCGATATCCAGTGCCATCTTTAAATCCAATATGGCGGCTTCCAATATCAGAAAAAGTGGTAAATACTGCCAAATACACAATTAGTATATTTTTGGAATCGGGATGACGTCTCGAGACCAAAAATTGATATCCAGCGCCATCTTAAAATCCAAGATGGTGACTTCCGACTTCAGAAAAAAGTAGGAAATACTGCCAAATACCCTTCAATATGTATATTTTCGGAATCGGGATGACGTCTAGAGACCAACAATCGATATCCAGCGCCATGTTGAAATCCAAGATGGCGGCTGCCAATTTCAGAAAAAGTTGGAAATACCGCTAAATGCCCTTCAATATGGGTATTTCCGGAATCGGGATGACGTCTTGAGACCGAAAATCGATGTCCGACGCCATTGTTTTATCCAACATGGTGGTTCTCAGATTCTGAAAAAACTGTCATATACTCTACAATATGTATGCGTATTTACGGAACGGGTTCGACGAAAATATATGTCCGACACTATTTTGTAATCCAATATGGCGGCTCTCAGATTCAGAAAAACTATCAAATTTGGGTTTTTTCGGAACAAGTTCTACGCGTACATCCCGAAAATCGAGGTCTGACGCCAGTTTTAAATCCAAGATGGTGGCAAGTGACTTCAGAAAAAAAACTGTCAAATACCCTTTAATATGGATATTTTCGGAACTGGGTCGACGTGTACATCCCTAAATGATGTCTGACGCCATTTTGGAATCCAAGATGGCAGCCGTTGTTTTCTGAAAAGCTGTCAAATTCTACGATATGGATATTTTCGGTACAGGACGCGTGTATGATGCCGAAATCGATGTCCAATACCATTTTTGAAATCCAAGATAGTGGCTCTCAGATTCGGAACAACTGCCAAATACCCTACATCATGGGTATTTTCGGAACAAAACTACAATTTATGTCCAACACCATTTTTTAATGCAAGATGGCGGCTCTTGTCTTTAGAAAAACTGTCAAATACCCAATAATATAGATTTTTGAGATGTCATGTAGATGCCGAATATCAATGTCCGATACCATTTTGAAATTTAGGAAAAGATATAAAGAAAGTCAAATAACCTACAATATGAGTATTTTTGGAAAAGGAATGACGTCTAGATAATTACATCTAGAAATAGAAGACGAGTGACCTGAAATCCAAAATGGCAGCAACAGGATACAGGCAAAGTTGGAAATACTGTCAAATACACATGAATGTGGGTATTTTGGGATTCGCGGTGGTAACTACGGATTAGCAATTACTGTCCGATGTCATATTGAATTCCAAGATGGCAGCTTCTGGTTGCAGATAAACTGGATAGTAATGTTAAATACCCCCACAACATGGGTATATTTTCAATGGGTCCGATATGTAGAGGCTCAAAATCGATGTCCGACTGTCAAATACCCTTCAATAGACGGAAAATTGATGGCTGACGCCATTTCGGCATTCCAATTTTCGGCATCTGCACGTCGTCTTTGAGCCGAAAATATCCATATTGTAAAGTATTTTACAGTTTTTCCCACTTTTTCTGAAATTGGAAGCCGCCATCTTGGATTTCAAGATGGCGCTGGATATCGATTTTTGGTCTCAAGACGTCATCCCGATTCCAAAAATATACATATTCATTGGCAGTATTTCCAACTTTTTCTGAAATTGGAAGCCGCCATATTGGATTTCAAGATGGCGCTGCATATCGATATTTGGTCTCTAGACGTCATCCCGATTCCGAAAATATACATATTGAAGGGTATTTGGTAGTATTTCCCACTTTTTCTGAAATCGGCAGCCGCCATCTTTGATTTCCAGATGGCGCTGGACATCGATTTTCGGTCTCTTGACGTCATCCCGATTCCGAAAATATACATATTGAAGGGTATTTGGCAGTATTTCCCACCTTTTTTTTTTAAACCGGACGCCGCCATCTTGGATTCCAAACATCGATTTTCGGCAGCTTTCAGTTCTGTCGGTTCCAAAAATAGCCATCACTGCAAACACGAAGCTTAGCGCCAAGATTCAAGCTACCTACTTCGAGTCAGAGGTGAAATCACGTCAAAACAACACAATTCTAGTTATTTCTATCTTGTTATGTCTCGCATCCAAAGCGACATCCATTTATTAGAAAACGACCAGCGGCAGTTTTGTCGCGACAGAATGGAAGAATGACATGACAGACTTTTTTCGTCAATAACCATGTCGACAGTTTCCGTCAATCTTGTCGTCCGACGTACGTGAAACAACTAAGTCATTCTGGAAAACGTCACGCAACAGATGTTTCGTGACCAAATGAGAGAAAGACAAGAATAGAAAATGTTTCGTCGAGAGACAGCCCAGTAGATCAGTCTTTCAAGCAGAATTTTGTTGCATCGTGCTTGTCAGATGAGCGTTGACTTTTTGTTGTTGTCGTTGTTATATAGTTTATCGTCATGAGGTTGACAATTCCCAAGCCTGAATGCATCACTTATTAGTGCCCTTTCTACCACCGCTCATCACTTGAATGTGTACACAGGAGATAAAAAAAAACAATATGTATCAATCAATGATATTCATGGTGAAGTATTGAATATCAATAACTGGTAAAAGTTGATAGAATAGTATATTCATCAACATGATTTGTTCTCGAATTCTGTGTACATCGTACAACGTATTTTTCTGTATTCGTCAGATGTGGCATGTGTCTCCAGTGGAATGCCTTGACCACTTATCATTTTCAAGAGCTGACATCTACTAACTAGACGTGAAAAAGAACTGGCATCACTGAAAGGTTCGAAATGTGGTGGCTTGCTCAATGCTTCAGTGGCGCCACTCTGACAAATGCAAGCACATTCCCTACGAAAAAATTATTTTCGATGAATGTGATTGTGAGTGTTATGTCTGCTTGTCTGTGATGTAACTAACGTGTCAGCCACCCCCTATTTGAGTCATAACAAAAAAATTAAAAATTTGTACAAAATGGTAAATACTGACAGAAAAAGGTTTAATAATCGCGCACACTATTAAAGATGGATTTGCAGTGACAAACAAAACAATAAGACAACAATGAAATGTAATTTTCACATAAGCGTCGCTTACCTTTTGAATTAGACGTGTGCAACGCCATGTGGCGAGCACTTGTACTAGCATGGCAAGAGGCAAAACAAATCATTCGAGCAGCA